CAAATCAGCAGGCCCGGATGAACTTCATCCAAGGGTGCTGACGGAATTGCCCAGTATCATAGTAGAGCTGCTGGCACGGCTGTTCAAGCACTCATGGTGCTCCAGTCAGGTCCCAGGGAACTGGAAAAGGGCCAGTGTGGTCCCTATTTTCAAGAAGGGGAGGAGGGAGGAACTGGCAGACTATAGGCCAAGTAGTCTCACCTCTATCCTTGGGAAAACTCTGGAAAAAATCATTAAGGAACACATTTGTGGGAGCCCAGCAGGGAAAATAATGCTGAAAGGAAATCAGCACAGATTCACTGCAGGTAGATCTTGCCTGACTAACCTTGTTTCTTTTTATGACCAGGCCACAAAATGCTTAGATGCAGGATTCGAGGTAGATGTCATCTACCTAGACTTTAAGAAAACCTTCGATATGGTGTCTCATTCTGTTCTCATAAATAAACTGACAGGCTGTGATGTAGATTATTACACAGTCAGATGGGTGGCAAACTGGCTTAGGGGTCTCACCCAGAGAGTGGTGGTGGACGGGTCGTTATCAACCTGGAAAGATGTGGGCAATGGAGTCCCACAAGGCTCGGTCCTTGGACCAGTGCTATTCAATATCTTCATCAGTGACTTGGATGAGAGCATGGAGAGCACTCTGTCCAAGTTCACAGATGATACCAAATTATGGGGCAAAGTTAACACAGCAGAGGGTAGGGAATGGATCCAGGTGGATCTGGATAGGTTGGAAAATGGGCAGAATGAAATGGGATGCAATTCAACAAAGACAAGTGCAAAGTGCTGCACCTGGGCAAAAAGAACCACTTACAGGCTGGAGGGTGACCTTCTCAGCAGCACAGAAGCAGAAAGGGATCTTGGAGTCATAGGTGACTCCAAGATGAACATGAGTTGTCAATGTGAGGAAGAGATCAACAAGGCTAACCGCACTTTATCATGCATTCGCAGATGCATGATGAACAGGTCCAGGGAGGTGATGCTTCCCCTCTATTCGGCACTGATCAGACTGCAGTTGCTGTACTACATCCAGTTTTGGGCGCTGCACTTTGAGAGGGATACGGAGAATCTCGAGAGGGTTCAGAGGAGGCCAATCATATGGTTAAGGGCCTGCAGGCCAAGCCCTACAAGGAGAGACTGAGGGACTTAGATCTCTTCAGCCTCTGCAAGAGAAGTCTGAGAGGTGATCTTGTGGCTGCCTCTAAATTCATCAGGGGAGGGCATCAGGGAATAGGAGACGCTCTATTTACTAGGGCATCCCTGGAGTAACTAGGAACAATGGCCACAAATTGATGGAGAGCAGGTTTAGGTTGGACATTAGAAAGAAGTTCTTCACAGTAAGGGTTGCTAGAATCTGGAATGGGAGTCCAAGGGAGGTGGTGCTCTCCCCTACCTTGGGGGTCTTCAAGAGGACTCTGGACAAGCACCTAGCTGGGGTCGTCTGACTCCAGTGCTCTTTCCTGCCCAAGCCAGGGGGTTGGACTTGATGACCTACTGAGGTCCCTTCCAACCCTAACATTGATGAATCTATGAACAGGGTATTTGTTGAGTCATCCACCCCTGTCATACCCTTCGTGGTATCCACCCTCAGTGGTTTAGTGATGTCAGAGGATAGCTATTAATGGACTAACCTTCATGAATTGGTCTAAACCCTAATTGAACCTGGCTATGCTATCTGCCTTTCCAACCTCCTGTGTCAAGGTGTTCCACAAATTAATGATGTCCTGTGTAGAAAAAACAACAAACAAAAAAGACTACTCTTGTTAGTTTTAAACCTGAGCCCTGCTAATTTCAGTGGGTGTCCCATCATTCATATGTTCTGGTTCTTGGTGAAAACAGCTCCCTATTCTAGCATCTTGTTTGGTTTTTTTTCTCTCTTCATGGGGAACAGCTTTTTCAGGGAAGAAAAGGATCACTTAGGATATGAAAGGTATTAGGCTTTTTTGGAAACCAACAGGAAGCATTGGCTTAATTGCTTGTAATTTCAGCCACTCCTTTGTGTACATTTCAGTTGGCTTCATTTTGAAAGAAGGGGATTCAGCCTCCTCTTCTGTGGGTGAAGTGAGGTGTCATGATGAGATGATCTCTGCCTGCAGCTAATGGCACAAAGAAAGGCTTGTTTCACTGAGGCTGTAAGACTGCAGGAGCAAACAGGAGGCTGGGCCTAAGCATAATGTGGCTATGCGTTGTCTGTTTGGCGTCTGCACACCTCAAATCCAAAGCATCTACTGGAGCTTTGCTGTTCCTGTTGAATTGGCTTTGAGTCCAGGGCCTTGCAGGCTTATAGAAAGGACATTCTTGCGTCTTTGCTGTGTGAGATTCACCCTCCCTGTCCTCTGTTTCAGGTCATCGAGTGCATCACCCAAGGCCGAGTCTTGGAGAGGCCTCGAGTTTGTCCCAAGGAGGTTTACGACATCATGTTGGGGTGCTGGCAGCGAGAACCTCAGCAACGGCTCAACATCAAGGAAATCTACAAGATCCTTCATGCTCTGGGCAAGGCCACACCAATCTACCTGGACATCCTGGGCTAGCAGTGGCCACCTGGCAAAAGTTCCTGCTCCCTCCTTCCTCCACTGGTCCTACCTCCCCTTCCCTGCCCCCAAGCAAACATCTTCATATAAACTCAAGTGCCTGCTACACATACAACACTGAAAAAAACCAACCTGTAAGGCAGTTTGGCTTATATATATATTTATAGATATTATATATATATATCTATACGCACACACACACACATACACCTTCACACCAATACAAAAAGAAGCTGCTGTTACAGAAATTGTAAGATTTACAAAACAAAAAAGAAACTACAAAAAAACCCTTAAAAGTACTTAAGATATATATATATATATTAATTTATAAATTATATAGATATAGATATATATATAGATATATATCTATATATCCATATATATCTATATATCTATATGTAAATTAATTAAGAAGTAAAAAACGAGAAGGAATCATTACCCCAAACTGTGGAGCAGTGAAACACGATCCTCCTGTGTGTCTTTGGCCCAGGCTGTGAGGCAGAGCTCAAGACTGACTCTATAGTCCCAGGGAGGAAGCCCTGGGATGTGGCCCTGCCACCGTTGTATGATATGCACTGACTGAGCGAGTCCATCCCACAATATGGTGGGACTCCAAGCCAGGGCAGTGCCCCTGAAGGAACTTGCTTTTACCAATCTCCCCCACCCCGGCCCACTTTCTTCCCAGCTTTTTTCCTCCCTTCAACATTTCAGGACAATTTTTCTAATATGCTGATTCTTAAATGTATAGACTCAAGGCTTTCAGAACATACAAGTCTAAGGATCACGGCACCTACGGGTAACACACAACTGAGAAACAGCCACCATCCCACGGAGAACCGCCAACAGGAACCGGACCTTCCCATTGCCCAGCGCCAACCTTTTGTCAGACTCTGGGATCAGTGTCGAGGACTGGAGCAGCTGCTTGAGAGAGAGCATGGAGCAGTGGGACAGGAAACACTCCCAGTGGCATTGTAGTATCCCTCCAACCACATCTCAGCATGCAGGATGGTAATCCCAGTCTGTGCATGGCTCCGTAGGGAGTGGCTTTGAAAGTGAAAACAAAAAAACCCCCATCCTCCTCACTCCTGCTATTTTGTCAGAGGACTTGATAGAGGTTTGGGGGGACGGTGGCTGTCACACAAAGGGCCATAGTCATGCCTGCTGCAAAGCCTGGTAGCAAGGGATGGATTACCTTGGCCTGTGCGATAAGGCTGCGGCTTGCAATGTGGCTGGGAGAACCGTACCGCAGGGTGTGCCCCTGGGGTTGGTATCTCATGCTGCCTCCCCTCCCTTTCCCCGACCTTCGCCATCCATTCCCCTCTTGCTCAGTCCTGTACCTGAGGTCCATGCCAAAGGGAGTGGGTAGGGTCTGTGAGATGGCTGGGAACCTATCGACACCTGCCTGCAGCCCAGTTGACATTCCTCTCACGTCTCCAGGCCCTGAAAGGATTGATGCATCTGCCTTGGAGCTGTTGTGAAATGCAGAGGCTGAAGAATAGCTCCACAGGCAGCCTCAGAAAGGGGGGAAGGGCAGGTGCCTTCAGGAGCAGACAGCTCCGGGAATGACCGCAGCCACCAGCCTTGCATGTCAATGAGGACAAAGGCCTAACAGAGCAGAGGGGGAGTGGGAGCCTTAGGAGGAGGCCAGAGAGAAGCGCCCCCTCCCACACCTCCTTAGATTAAAGGGATAGCTGCCTCCTGGCGCAAGCAGAGGCTGGGTCCTCATCACCAGGAGCCTGGGAAACAAACAGTCCTGGCTTGTTTCTCCTCTGGCTAATCGAGGATGAGGGGAGAACGCTCCCTTGGCAGCTGGAGCCAGGAAGAGGACATAGGGACCAGGGCCGTTGTCAAGTCAATTTAAGAAAGGCAACAACTGCAGGCACCAGACGAGATGGTTTGGATGCGTCACCTGTCATGAAATGGGGGGACGGGTCAGTTCTCTCCTTCCCGCTAGCATTCCCCTGCCCAAAGCAATCAAATGGGACAGGATGGATAGAGGAGAGATTGCTCCTGCCAGTCAGCTGCAGTATACGCCAAGAGGGAAACCCTCCTCTCCATCCCTCCCTCCTATCATGCTCCCCCCGGCTCCATTGATCTGGTGTTATTCCTGCTCAGGGCTTCATTCAAATGAGCAGTGCCTTGCTGTGAAGAGCTAGGGCTTGCTGGTGCTAGCGAGGTTGAGTCAGGACACAGGGTGACAGCTGATGCAGGGGCTTAGCTGGCTCGGGCAGGGTTAGCTGTAATAAAAGCATGAGCCATCATGGGAAAGAGAAGACGTGCACCCATCCAGCCCCCATTATCACATCCAGCAGTACAGCGGTGCTCTAAAATTCCTGAGCCTAATTGGTGCGGCCATCTCAGATGTAGGCAGGGGCCAGGGCCAGCACTGCTAAAGGTACATATGTAGGTTGCTTTGGACACCGAGCTCTCAGCAGGGCAGGGTAGAGGCAGGGGCTATGAATAGCCCCACACATCAGTGACCAGGCACTCCACTATCCCTGGGCTCCATGCAAATTTTCTCTCTTGTGGCACCAGCACAGTTGGGCTGTTTTTTGTCAGGGGAGCATCCTGCCTGGCTGCCTTTCTCCATCCTACCCCCTGCCTCCCTGTGTCCCATCATCCCTTCATAGCGCCCCCATCCCACAAGCAAACCACTGATAAGCCCTGCATGTCCATGTTGCATTCAGAAGCACCCCGCACTCCTGAAACCCAGGTATTCCCCCCCTCTCCCCTCTTTCCTATGAGCCCTGGGCTTCCCAAGCCGGTGCTGCCTGTAGTCAGATGACATTGTAAAGGCATGGGTAGGACAAGACTTCAGGCCTCAGTTCTGTGTGGTTAAGTAACAAAGGGTCTAATGAAAGGCAAGGACATTGTCCCCTGGAAGACACAACGTTCCTGAGACAGATTTAGGTTGCCACATTGCCCTATTCTTAGTCCCACCAGACACAGCTACAGCCTTGGAAAAAAGGTCCTGCAGTCAAAGTTAGTTTTGAGCAGTTGCTTAGCAGACAGGAGAAGGTGCTGTGTGACAGTGTTATATCACCCCACTTCGCTGTTGTTTAGTGCCTGTAGGCCCCTGGGGTTGGGCTTTTCTTGGGGTTTTGTTTTAAGGGTAAAAAGAAAGTGTTATGCTCCTTATACACCTAACCACTTGGTAGGGACGCTGGGAAAGAAGCTGGCTGGGTCACGGGGAGCAGGTCCAGGATTCTCCCATCACTAAGGGCACGGAGGCGGCGGTTGCTGGACAGCGCATGCAGCTCTTTGGTGGCTGTTTTACCCAGGGCAGGAACAGGGTCCTGAGAGCAGCAGAACCTGTGCGGCCTTACAGTGTCGGGGGAGAAGGGAGCTTGGAGACCCCCTCAAGTATGCTACAAAGCAGAGCTCTGCTCTGTGCTGCAAGCAACTTGCACAGAGGAGCCACTAGCAGCTCCAGCCCAGTGCAGATTTCCCATTCACACTTCTCTGTCTCGATGATCAAATCTCATGCAGCTTTGCCACGCATGCCCTTCTCCAGGGACAGCAGTTGGCTTTGGGTGAGGCCATCTGCAGTGCCTTTGGCCCCCATGTTCCCCCCAGTTTAGTCATTCCTGATGTTCATTCTCCTCTGTCAACTAAGTCTTTCACAAATGCCCTTTGGAAACAGAGAGATGGACTAGACCTGAATGCAATCCTGAGCCCTCACTGGGACCTGGGTTGTGTTTATAATGAGGAGGAGCTGGTCCAAAATGAACCACGTGAGAATTGTCCTGACTTGGAACCGATGAGTCGGAGGATCCTGGAGCTATGTGCTGTTTAGGTAGCAATCTGGTAATAAAGCCAGGCATCATGGGCTGCACTTCTCTCTTTGGCCCTAAGGTATATTGTCAGTGACCTCAGATTTTCTCTCTATCTTCCCATTTGCCAGCTCAGTGAATGGGTTGTACATTTCCAAGCTAAAGCCAATACTGTCTGAGAGCACAATTTTTAAGTGAGCCTCAACACTGTCTGTATATAAAGGAGCATCTCATTTTGCCAGGCCCTATTGATTGTTTAAAAAAAAAGCTGTGAGAGAAATGGTCTTTTTTCTACACATGCACCGTCATCATCTTAGATTTGGATAGGCACATGCATTTGTGCATGGGTGGCTTAGGACCTGCGGTTTCAAGGGTCTGAATGTACGCAGACTTGCACATGAAAGAATGCGTGCACTGAAATAAGAGTAAAAAAGCAAGGGCACCTTTATAGAAGCTGCTTGTGAAAATTCAGGCATTAGCTTTATGCCTCCCTGGCTGTGGGTGAAATTAGCTTTCTTGATTGAGAAAAAAGGCCTAGCACAGAAAGGGAGCAGTGTTCAAAGTCCAGTAAGGCACTTCAGTCAGGTGAATCAAGGCTGCATTCAGTGAAGTTAAGAATGGCTCTGAATCCCAAGTGGTACCAGAGGTAAAAACTGAAAGAAGTGAAAACCCATACACCTCCTGGGGCTACAACAAAATCTTGCTGTAATCCTGAACAAACAAGGGGCAAAAAAAAAAGGAAAAACAACGGTCACTGGTGACTAGGAGAAGTTTGTCCAGGAAAAGAAAAAGAGAGCCAAGGACTGTGAGCAGCTTTGTTATGAAATGCAAGCAGAACAACACTGGAGCAGTAGTAAAATTTTCAGGGACTAAGGCTGGAGATCCAAAGCTAAGGCCACTGTTTTCTCTTTCAAAGAACAGCAGTGGCCTCCCGGGATCCAAATGCATGTCTGTGTGTTCTGCATGAGGCAGTACTGGTGTCAGTTATTGGGGAAGACACAAAGCCTTGAACTCAGGTCTCCGCAGGTAAGCAAAGGAGAAATTGATTCTTAATTGCCGGCGTTCCTCAGGTCTGTTCGTTTGTCATCTCTGAGCGCATATTGCTCAGAACTGGGATTCTAGACAGCTGCATTAAAGTGCTGTATTTATTCTCATGAGGTGCCATTTCATTTCCTTTCCCCGGTGCTGATGCTCTGTCAGTGAAAAATGTTGCATTCCAGGCTGGTAGCCAGCTTTAGGGAGGAGTGAGCCCCTTTGCTCTTTGCATAAACTTTCCACCATGTGCGTCCCTCTTTGATAGGTCAGTTGTGCAGCTTATTAGACTGCAGGCATGCCTATAACCTGACAGGTGCAAAGTGGGCCATTCCAAAGCATGCTCCACCTACTTGCTCCAACCCCCCGCAAAACACCAGAGAAGCAGCTAAGACATCCCTTTGCAGCCACTCTCAAGTCCTCAGTCACTGGCATGCTTGAGAGCTGCCTCTGGGGACAGACAACCTTGCTGTGTTGTCACTGGACTATTTGGAGTGGCACTGTGTGGACATGG